TTCGAGTTTACAGACATTGTCATTTTGAGTTTAAAAAAATGAAATTACGAGCTTTTTTTTTTTTTTACATGGATGAAACGGGCTTCCATACCAAAGGGATGTACAAAATGTATGCCCAAAAATAACTTTGGAAAGCTTACCTTTATTAACAAAACAATCTCTGAGTAGATTAAAAATAAGAAACGAATGGTTAAAAGAAACATTGAAAATCTGGGCAGTAATTAAAAGAAATTTAAAATGTCGGACTCAATATGCGGGCTTCTAAAATAACTAAGAACGCTGACTTTGCACCAACGCACACAGAACGGGGGGATATGATAAATGGGAACAAGAAGGACTAATTTATATCGGACAGGTTTTTAAAGGGGAGAACTAGAAATCATTTGAACATTTGAACAATATGTATTTATGGCGAAGTCAGAAAGTAAGTAATCTTTATTTATATACCGCTTTTCACAGACCACAAAGCGGTTTACAATTGTTATTTTTTGGGCATTTGTCTCTCACTCCACACAGAGATGGGAGCGGAATCACCAGTACAGGAGGCGCATGCCAGACCTATTGTACATGTTTTTAGTGGTAGGGGAAACCGGAGCACCCGGAGGAAACCCACACAGACACGGGGAGAACACACAAATTCCACTCAGAAAGGCCCTGGTCCGACCAGGATTTGAACCCAGGACCAAGATAGCAAGAAAACGCTTAAAGCTATATAAAGCTCTGCATATGGAAGATGACAATAATACAGATATCAAAGAGAGGTGAGAGAGTGAAAGACTTATACTTTATTGATCCACAAGGGAAATCTAAAAATAAGAATATAAATTAAGAATAATAAGATATTTGTGAGAATAGAACAATCAGAAGTACTCAGGAATATACATATCAGTGAATATGGACACATTTACAGTATGAAATAGTATACTATTATACATCTGTTAATATACAGAATAAGGACAAAGCAGATGTATTATCTGTCACAGAGCGGTGACTTGTTGAATAGCTGGATGGATTGTGGCATGAACGTGCTCTTGTACCGCTCACTGTTGCAGCGGAGCGGAGTCTGTTTTATAAGGAGCTCCTTTGCCCCTCTATAGTCCGGTGGAGTGGATGTGTTGGGTTGTCCATGACGGAGAGCATTATTTCCAGTGACCTTCTGTCTCTCATTGTTGTAAATGTCTCCAGCTGACAGCCAATCACCTGTCCAGCTATACAGATCAGCTTGTCAATCCGAGAGCGGTCCCTTTGGGGGTACTGCTCCCCCAGCAGACCACAGTGTAAAAAAGGGCACTGGAGACCACATACAGTACTGGACAGTTTGCTGCACACATGGAAGGATCTGAGCTTCCTCAACTCAGATCTAAGAAAAATTATAATACCAAATGAAAAGTGGGCAGAGACATTTGGAGAAGGACATGCAAGCTTTGTCAGTGCTACTTGGAGGGAGTTTGAGTGGAAATTAAAATCGGGCTTCTTCCTGGTACCACTACATGTTTTCAAATCTAACAATGTGCCCAGCACAGGCTGGAGAGGTCAAACAGGTGATAACAAACACATCTTTTGGAACTGCCCTAAAATTATGGAATGCTGGGAAACACTCAAAAACAGACAAAAGTCCAGTAATAAAAAAAATTATATGAGCTTATTATAAATCATAACTTGAGCCCCATAGCCCTAAGGTATTACTATTATTTAAAAGTGTTTTGGGATGAGTGGGTTGAATGCCCTAAAAGCTATTGAAGAAAAACAGGTATTTTTAACCAACAAAATAATTTTAACTTTTAAATGCTTTTAAGAACGATTTCAAGGGCTGAGCCCCATAGCCCTCATTTAGTACTATTATTTAAAAGTTGTTTGGAGTAAATGGGTCAAATGCCCTAAAAGCTATTGAAGAAAAACAGGTATTTTTAACCAAAAAAATCATTTACATTTTTTAAAAGCCTTTAAGAACAATTTCAAGGGCTGAGCCCAATAGCCCTCATTTAGTACTATTATTTAAAAGTGGTTTGGAGTAAATGGGTCACATGCCCTAAAAGCTATTGAAGAAAAACAGGTATTTTTAACCAAAAAAATCATTTAAAAATGTTAAAAGCTTTTAAGAACAATTTCAAGGGCTGAGCCCCATAGCCCTCAGGTAGTACTATTATTTAAAAGTGGTTTGGAGTAAATGGGTCAAATGCCCTAAAAGCTATTGAAGAAAAACTGGTATTTTTAGGCACAAAATAATTTTAAAAGCTTTTAAGAACAATTTCAAGGGCTGAGCCCCATAGCCCTCAGGTAGTACTATTATTTAAAAGTGGTTTGGAGTAAATGGGTCAAATGCCCTAAAAGCTATTGAAGAAAAACTGGTATTTTTAACCCAAAAATAATTTTAAAAGCTTTTAAGAAAAAATTCAAGGGCTGAGCCCCATAGCCTAGAGGTAGTACTAATTTTGTAAAGTATTCTGTGGCGACTGGGTCAAATGCTCTAAAAGCTATTGAGGGAAAACCCCATACTTTATATAAATAAATCCTTGAAAAATACACCAAATCTATTCAGCATAATTTCATTGCCTGAGCCCCATAGCCTAGAGGTAGTACTAATTTTGTAAAGTGTTTTGGGGTGACTGGGTCAAATGCCCTAAAAGCTATTGAGGAAAAACCCAAACTTTATATAAAAAATCCGTGAAAAATACACCAAATCTATTCAGCATAATTTCATGGCCTGAGCCCCATAGCCTAGAGGTAGTACTCATTTTGTAAAGTATTCTTGGGTGACTGGGTCAAATGCTCTAAAAGGTATTGAGGAAAAACCCATACTTTATATAAAAAAATCCTTGAAAAATACACCAAATCTATTAATCATAATTTTATGGCCTGAGCCCCATAGCCTAGAGGAAGTACTAATTCTGTAAAGTATTCTGGGGTGACTGGGTCAAATGCCCTAAAAGCTATTGAGGAAAAACCCAAACTTTATATAAAAAATCCTTGAAAAATACACCAAATCTATTCAGCATAATTTCATTGCCTGAGCCCCATAGCCTAGAGGAAGTACTAATTTTGTAAAGTATTCTGTGGCGACTGGGTCAAATGCTCTAAAAGGTATTGAGGAAAAACCCATACTTTCTATAAAAAAATCCTTGAAAAATACACCAAATCTATTAAGCATAATTTTATGGCCTGAGCCCCATAGCCTAGAGGTAGTACTAATTCTGTAAAGTATTCTGTGGTGACTGGGTCAAATGCTCTAAAAGGTATTGAGGAAAAACCCATACTTTATATAAAAAAATCCTTGAAAAATACACCAAATCTATTAAGCATAATTTCATGGCCTGAGCCCCATGGCCTAGAGGAAGTACTAATTGTGTAAAGTATTCTGGGGTGACTGGGTCAAATGCCCTAAAAGCTATTGAGGAAAAACCCAAACTTTATATAAAAAATCCTTGAAAAATACACCAAATCTATTCAGCATAATTTCATTGCCTGAGCCCCATAGCCTAGAGGAAGTACTAATTTTGTAAAGTATTCTGTGGTGACTGGGTCAAATGCTCTAAAAGCTATTTAGGAAAAAACATACTTTATATAAATAAATCCTTGAAAAATACAACAAATCTATTCAGCATGATTTCATTGCCTGAGCCCCATAGCCTAGAGGTAGTACTAATTTTGTAAAGTATTCTGGGGTGACTGGGTCAAATGCCTTAAAAGCTATTGAGGAAAAACCCATACTTTCAATCAAAAATCCTTGAAAAATACACCAAATCTATTAAGCAAAATTTCATGGCCTGAGCCCCATAGCCTAGAGGTAGTACTAATTTTGTAAAGTGGTTTGGGGTGACTGGGTCACATAACCATAAACCTATTGAAAAAAATATTGTATTTTTTGGTGATTTTCCAGGATTATGATTTTTCTAAAGTTTCAAAACATGAAAATAGGAATAAAAACGTGTGGTAAATATTATTTACTTTGCTGGTTCACATGATTCCGAATATAGGCTTATTGAAAATATATAGGCTACATTCAACAGTAGGTATAAAATACTATAATATTAAATGTGGTAGAAAATACACCTAAAGATTACATTTAATCTATCTCCTTTCATTAAAATTGTTTATTTGTATCACATTATTGATTTACACCTACATTATTTTTTTTAAACCAACGCCTTTTTACAAAGACAGTAATTCATAGACGGTCCCTAAGTTCGAACGATCTTAGTGCTGGAGGCGAATATCCAACGTCCAACGTGAAACCAACTTCACCGCGGTAAGATTCCCACTGAGTAGCTCCAAGCCAGCTGGAGCCATTTCTCTCTCCTTTCTGGCTCAGTTGCCTCGCTAGGGATCATGTAAAAGGACAGGTCACTCCTTTTTACGCTGTTGTTGGTACAACCAACAATACAACAGTTTTTCGGCATGTTTTGTAACGCTCGTTTGTCTTTCGCTTCGTGTTGCTTAATGGCGGGCGCTGGTTTGTTTTACCCTTCGCCGCGTTGCTATGCGCGCGCAGTGCATTATGGGAGTCCAAGTTCCCGGATGTCCGACCTCGAGAATCAAAGATGGCGTCTCCGAGGAGGTCATGTGACATTCATTGGTCTGTGGGAACTATGTATAGTGTCCTTAATAAATAATAATAATAATAATAACATTCATATTTTTACTCGTAGACGTCTTGCTCATTACCCCTTTTTATTAAAATATTTTATTTTAATCGCGGGTTTTTGTTTTGAACCACGAAAAAATGGGCGTGTCCGCGTGTGATAAAGTATTCCAGAACGTCACATTGCGCAGGTCAAGTGATTTTACAGGGAAAATAAAATATCCAGTATATCAACACAGTTTATGGTTCTTCTTTCTTTCCACCTCATCGACGTAGATCTCGATGTTTGTCAGCGTCGCATCCGCCTGGCTGAAGGAATGTCGTGAGGCCGAACGCAGCGGTAAAAATAGCCCCATCCTCTCCTCTGACAGCGCCGCTCCGAGGCTGGCTGCACTGTGGTGGGAGAAGCAGGAATGCGAACATGGCCACGGATCTAGGAGAGCTTCTGGTCCCCTACATGCCCACTATCAGGGTCCCCAAAACTGGAGACAGGGTTTTCAAGAGCGAGTGTGCCTTTTCCTTCGACTCCCCCGTAAGTGGCGTGCTGTGGTGTAGTAGTAGTAGTAGTAGTAGTAGTGGGTAGTAGTGGGTTTGTTTACGGGGGACGTGTGAGTGCGTCTGGGGGTCTGCCTTTTTGACAGTCTGGGCTGACCAGAACAAAACACGTGAATGTGGAGGTCACACTTACATCTGGTTTGACGTTCTGAACACACTAACTGGAAGAAAAATAACGAATATATTAAATTATGATCTTGTTTTTTTTATTTTATTTTATTTTTTTTTTATTCAGTTTCTATAAGCCAGTACAATTAACCACTAAAAATTCCATACTGGTCTCAGACTCGTTTGTTCAAGATGCACCAGAATCTTGAACAAACGAGTCAAGATTCTGGTGCATCTTGAACAAACGAGTCTGAGACCAGTACAAGATGCACCAGAATGTAGAATATGGTCTAATTAGTTGTGTGATTCTATGGTTGATGGTGAGAAAATCTGCGTTGTCATGGCAACAAATTAGCGGGTAAAATGAGACCAAAACCAACAAATAATTAAATATATTTTGTTAATTCAAAGCGTGTGAAGCAACATTACAGCATCACTCCTTTGTTAGTTTGTTTATCAGGGCAGCAGTATTGGCTAACGACACCTGCTCCAAGTCTTTATCAGCTCTGTCATTACAAACAGCTGCTGTTTTTGACTTTAAACTAAGATTATATTTTAGTACATTTTAGTCATTTGGTAGGATCACACAACTTGATTAGTTCTGCATTTTCATCAAATAGACTTTAGTTTTGCCCCCAATGTCCTTCAAATAGGAAATTTTAATATAGTTTAACTTTAAATAATGTTTAATTATTTTAAAGCTGTCTATCTCCTTAAAATGTCTTATAAACCAACATTAAGGGATTTTTTTTTATAGAAACGGATTTAAAGGTGACTCAGCTGTCTGGAGTTCATCATGGTGGCCTGTGGACTGGCTTATTTTTATCTTTGCACTGTTGAAGCTCGTATGTCACATTGGGTTTGGACTGGACCACTTAAAAGTTATCTCAAGGCTTTATGAAGTATATTGGGTCAAATCTAATACATACATACATACGTACATACATACATACGTACATAAAATAACGTTTAAAATGACTAATACAACATTTAGTGAGACTGAGATTTTAAATATCATTCTTTGTGTTTATGTTTAGGTTATTCATCCATTTCTTATCAAATATTTTAGTTAAACTAAAAGTTTCAAACATCACTTATTCCCAGGTTATTCCTTCCTGCTGCTGTTAGACTGTGCAATGGCAACTGCTGAGCCTGTACATGCCATTCATCTGTAAATAAGTAAATACTGTAATCATGTGCAATGTGCAGTACTGCAACTTCAGAACGTCACTTTATCTACTTGTTTCCCTGCCTGCCTTATGTGTATATAACTTTGCACTATATAGATTGTTTTTTGAAAGATTGATATTGAAGCATTTACATTTGTACATTTTGTCTGCTCCCTGTGTGCTCTCACTACCGTCCTGTATGTGCGCTGCGTTGCGTCCCCATTGTGGGACAAATAAAGGATCTCTATCTTATCTTATCTTATCTTAAAGTAAGGCCTTATTCTGAAGTTGAAATGTAATGGGCTATGATTCAATTTTGTTCAAAAAAGGGTGGCACAGCCGCTAGAATGTTGCATTAGAAGGTACTGGATTTTCTGTAGAGTTTGTATGTTCTCCCCCTGTCTGTGTAGGTGTTCTCCAGGTGCTTCGGCTTCCCGTATCACCAAAAACATGTTCAACATTTCAGTGTGTTTGTGAGTGGGTCTGTGGGACAACAGATTATATTGGTGTATTTACAGCACTGCTGTTCATTAATACCCACTTCCCTGCCAATTAAGTAAGAAGGTCCAGGGTCTGACTCTCAGGCAGCTCATCACTTTTTTTCAGAGTTTACATGTTCTCCCCTTGTCTGTGTAGGTTTCCTTCGGGTGTTCAGGTGTCCCTTACAACTAAAAACTGTCCTTGATATGAATCTGGATAATTACAGCAGTATCTGTTTGTTAAACATATTGACCCATTCAATTGAATCAAATCTTCATGTCAATGATTGAGTACGCCCAGGTCACTATACAGTCTATGGTCAGAATACAATATTTTGGTCTATACTGAAACATTCACAAATATTGCAAACACCGAAACATAAAAACATGTATTCTTTTTCCCCTTTTCACCTCAACAAATCAATTTGGACTTGTCATTTGTTTGAATTGTTTTTATAATAATGTTGTGTTAGAAGCTCGGCTGAAGCTTATTTATGCTGACTGTTGTTTGTTTTGGTGGCAGGAGTCTGAGGGCGGTCTCTATGTGTGTATGAACACATTCCTGGGGTTCGGACGAGAACATGTGGAGCGACATTATCGCAAAACAGGACAGAGTGTCTACATGCACCTCAAGAGACACGTCAAAGAAGTGAGTGCTTTTATTTTCTCTGCGTCCGCAGGTAATCATTTAGTCTACAAAAATGAACCGAATGTAACACTAAATAAACAGTTCTTATACACCAGCCCATCCTAAAAATGGAAACTCATAAAGCCACTGTGGTCCCAATGAGTCAGTAGACTGTTCTTGTTTTGTTAAATGTTTGTATGTCATGTGAAATGTTTGTGAGAGAGCTGCTGTTTCAGACAGAATTGTGTCTTACAGTAAAATATTACATTGCATTATTCTATTATTTTCCGCCTGGAACAGTTAGATTTGAGCGGGAGTGTCTCAGAAGCGCGTGTTTTCTGACCTGACATAAAAACATTATGGAGAGGTGTAACCCAGAGGTGAATACGGTTGTTCAGTCCTTGGGCAATCCTACCTCCTTGGTCGATGTATCAGAATCAGAATACTTTTATTGCCGTGTGAGTAACAAGAAGTCCCAAAAAAGTAGAATAGATTAAGGCACGCATAAATAATAATCTACATACATTTCTTAAAATTAACAACTATATACAAGTGCACTAGGTGCACACTATGGACCTTTAGCAGCACTGCAGTAAAGTGACAGTGAAGTATCATAAAGTGACAGTGTTCTTAGTGATTATCTTTATGTAATGTACTTGAAGTATCTTGAAATGAAGAAAAGTGTATGTAAAATATTTACCATTCATTTGATGTCATAGTGATTTAATAAGTTCAAGGTGAAGATGACTTAATTATCACTAACTTCACCCTGTTTGTTTCATGTCTCATGGTCCTAACAGCTCTATAGCTCTGCTTCTATTTCAATGACTTGATCTGCTCAGAAACAGCTGCTCTCCACTGCCTTTACTCTGGTCTCCCCTCAGTCCCCTATGTGTCAGCATTCTCTTTATTGCTCTCACCGTCAGCTTTTATTTTTATTATTGACCTGTATTTAGTAAAATAAAGCGTTAATGTCCCACTGAGTTACAGGATGTCAGTGTAATGTAAGACTTTGTCAAATAATTTTTTTAATGTTAAAAACCAAAACTGCATTATCAATGGAACCACTGTGTCTCCTGAACATAAATGATCATAAGCAATGTCTAATGTGATAGAAATTATACACCGTCAAGAGTTTGTCATGTGATGAAGGGGTTTCCCCAGTGTCTTGTAATCTGATCTGTATGTGGCATCTATCTTCAAATATATTTTTACAGCTGGGATTTATACTTTTTATTTTTTATCATTAGAAATCCACAGGAGCAGCTGGAGGTGCCATTCCTAGACGAAAAAATGGAAAAGTCTTTCTAGGTATGTCAAATTAATATAAAGTAGCATTTAATACAGTTAATGTTTACTATACAGTAGTCCTCCAGCTGTTGTTCCGGTCTTTACTCAAAGTGCCAGATATTTCCCATGACGAGACCTCTTCACCCCTTGTGCTCTAAATGTAGCATATTTATTTGTATGGTTGGTTGGTAACTGTTCTAAATCAAAGTGCTCTGGTGCAAAGAGAGGCCTTCAGTCCCCAGCTGCCATCCCCCGTCAGGCCCAATGACAGGCTGACACACTTCCACCTCTGACGATGCTCTGGTGCCACTGTCTCCATTCAGAAATGTGCCACCATTGTGGCTTTTATCTACAACTGTGTATCATCTTAAGTGTAAACCATACAACTATGTTTGTACCTTGATGTTTTCACTTCCTTCTTTATCCACAAGTTTCAGAAGAAAATTAGTTAGGACTGCTTTGATACCATGGTGATTAACACTTTACAGTCAAAACTAAAGAACATGATATTATGATTTATCTATGTGCATTTATATTGGAGGATCCCCAGGCCATTCATTTACACATCTGCAGGCATTAAAAACAAAACATGCATTTCATACATTCATCAAGACACCAACAATAATACCTTGTGCAACAAGTGCAACTGTATACAACAAGTGTGACAACTAAAATGAACTAAAAAGAGAAGAACATTGAAAAGAATAATCCATCATTAGTTAGTTACAGCCCTACTTGAAACCAGTAAATGAAGTTCATTTAATCTCGGATGGTTATGTTATGCGTCATAGAAGAGGAACATATCACAACATAGCACATGTACTTGCAGATTTGTGTTTGTTTTAGCCCTGCACAATGTATTACTAAATTAATTAGCGCGATGTGATATATTACATCTGCGATATAAAATCTTAATCTTGGTATTGGCAAATATCAAACTATCAGTGTAAAAGTAGATTTTTACTTCTGTTGGAAGTAATGTGATTGTCTCATACGGGGCCAAAATTATAGTAATCTCAAACACTGCAATAATTTCAGACAAGAAAACACTTATACAATCATCGAGTGAATCGAGTATAGTAGCTAAAAGCCTTTTCTGAAACTCCACCCATGTAATTTTATCTAAGCTGGCACAAACATTTCGGGCATATATATAAACATCAAAATGTTTATGTTGCTTGAGTGGTTTGTGCTCATTGAACAAAACTATTTTTCAAAACAAAATTGTGGTTGCAATGATTGATTCATGTTTTGGTTTTTATAATTTTACTTTTTTGTGTGAATGGGTCGTTGCCTGATGTATTGTGCAGTGGGTGCTTTGAGGGTACGAAAGCTCTATACCCCTTTTCCACCAAGTTGCTGGTTCCAGACCGGTTCTGGGCTGGTGCCGGTGCTGGTTCAGAGCTCTGCCAGTTCAGTCAAAGAGTGAAAAACTACTAAAGTTCGGTTTCCCACCAGAGCAGAACTACTGCCCGTTACCATAGCAACACATTGTTTACTAGCAAAAACAGTTAGCTTATCAACTGTTTTTGCTGTTTTTCAGATTAGACCAACTTAATTTTACCTTCACAATAGGATTTGGGAAAGGCAAAATATGAAATAAAAATGTTATGTTTAGTATTTCTCCATAACTGGCTCCCATTTCTTTCCCTGAGTCAGGGCCAGTCTTTCAGTTCAAGGTTCCAGCAAGGGCACCGCTACCAGCTTTGTGGAAAAGGGTTTTAATAGTTATGAACATCATTCAAAGGATAAAAGTGCTCTTGAGAAGTACCCAAACATGAAATAATGACTGTAATAACTATTATGTGGAATGTATGGATGAATACGACTGGCTTTTGAAGATTGCAGGGATTTTTTGAAACGCAATAAACATGGGTTACACCAGCTGGTTGGTTCTGTCTGACTATGTGTTTCCTCTCCCAGATTTAGAACTAAACCGTGATTTTAACGGAGAGGACTATGAATATGAAGATGAGGCCAAACTTGTCATTTTCCCAGACCACTTCGAAATCCCTTTACCAAATATTGAGGAGTTGCCCGCTCTGGTCAGTGAGTTGGTGACGTGTGGTTTGAGTGTTTGCATGAGAATATTGCAGATGGTTTGGTTATTCTTCAAGTGAGGGTGGGAAGATTTGATGTTTGGAGTGTTTTATGTTCTGCATGTGTTGTGGCATGTGCTGTATGGATCCATCTTTGAAACGTTACGTATACACTTGCCTCCTTCAAGATGTTTTTTCTTTGAGTTAAATTTTATTCAATCTATATAAGGATCAGTCCCGGAAGCAAACAGGTTACTCCTGGGAAAGTCACGGGTTTGATCTGTGGAGAGCAAGAGGGCTAGAATGCTTATTGTTTTAATTGATCAATAGAAAAAAAAATGATATGACTGCAGCACTATCAAATCAAAGTAACATTTTCATGTTACTTTTAAAGGGGTTGTTTGTAATGTTTTTTTTATTTTAAATGATAGCTCAATTTTTATATGTGTCCTCAGATAATTAGACATTGTGTCATGTTATCATGAAAATATAATAATATGAAGTAAAGTAGTTGTTGCTATATTAGATACTAGGCCCAAACCAGGTGAATGTAAACCTTTAATGACCTTTAACAGAGTTACAAAGCACATAGAGGTGTAAACAAAAGTCAATTATACCAGGAAGGTTGCTTTGGAGAGAGATGGTTTGGATTAGAGAGAGGGAGAGGGCCTATCTCTACATGATGCTGATGAGTCCCATACCTAGACAGAAAGAGCTAGTAGCAAGCTAGCCACAACTTATTAGCCTTAGCTCCTACCTGATTGGCCAAGAGGGGGGAGCAGAATTGATGCAAATGCATCCCAGCAGTGCACAAATCATATTTGACTTTTTCTGAACAAAAGTTTTAAGTGGAGTGATTCTTAATTAAAGAAAAATGTACATTCTTTATGTTAACGGTTATCAAGGAGATTATCCAATCAGAGAGCAATGTGAATTTGGGTTGCCAGTTTTCTGTGTCACAGGCAGTAAGATTCTAAAAACATACGTTGGATTGCTATTATAATGCTTTTATTCACCCAGTTCGAGGGTAAACTACGTATGATCCATTTAAAAACTGTCTTTGTGAACATAAACATATATGAATGCTTTTGTGCGTATAGGTAACAATTGCCTGCGACGCAGTGCTCAATGCACCCTCACCGTACAAGAAACAGGAACCTGAGTCTTGGGAGGAGGATATCCAAGTGTCCAAACACGCCAGGAGCCTCAGGCAGCTGGACAATGGGGTCAAAATCCCACCCAGGTAAAACCAATCCAATCAATTGTTCGTGTTGTTTACAATCTCGCCTCTCATATCACACATACGTTTTTGTTTCCAGTGGGTGGAAATGTCAAAGGTGCGAGATGAAAGAAAACTTGTGGCTGAACCTGACAGATGGAGCCATTTTCTGTGGAAAGTGGTTTTTTGACGGCAGTGGAGGGAATGGGCATGCGCTGGACCACTACAAACAGACCAATCATCCCCTGGCAGTCAAACTGGACACCATCAACCCCGATGGAGCAGGTGCGACCCCAGTCACCTTTAAAACAATAGTGTCTAATGATGTATTTTAGATTGAATACAGTATGAATTATGAAAGTTATGTTTGATATCTTGTTTTTCTATGGTTGCTGTGGTTAGATGTCTATTCCTTTGATGAGGAGGAAGCCGTGTTGGATCCACAGATATCAGAACATTTGTCACATTTTGGGATTGATATGCTTCAAATGCAGCAAAGAGTATGTTTTCTTTGTTGTAAACCTGATGATAAACCATCAAACATATCATATTCATAACATTTATGTGCTCTTACAGACAGAAAATGGTCATCACACAGATAACAACGCCAGGCCAAGGGTTAGTGAATGGGAGGTGATTCAGGAATCAGGAATGAAGCTAAAGGCGGTCTATGGTCCAGGTTACACAGGCGTCAAAAACCTGGGCAACAGCTGCTACATGGGCACAGTGCTACAGGTCCTCTTCAGCATCCCAGACTTTCAGAGAATGTGAGATTTGTTTTCATCCATGCATAATTAACAGTTATTTAAATCTATGTATGTATGTATGTTTATATTTATGTATGTATGTATTTATGTATTTATTTATTCATAAATAATAGTTTTCAGAGTACTACTGAATTTCTTCACAATGACTGAAGTTGTTATCCTACTCTATTCAAGCTAGCCCTTTGTTGTTGCGTTTGGGCTGTTGCTGTTTGGCTTGTGTTTCACTAAAGCTTGTATTATGATCTTTAGGTATGTGGGGAATCTCCAGAGAATATTTGACTATTCACCTCTTGATCCCACTCAAGACTTTGCCACACAAATGTAAGTGATTCCACTGTCATGTAAGGGATATTACAATCAACAAGTTAAAGCATGTTTCCATATTCCAGACATATTATAATTGTATGACTGGCTGTTAAACATGGTAAATGCCTAGATTGAATAATTACTAACAAATAGATGTATTAATTGACTTGTGTAATTCTATCTAACAAACGCTATCAAACAAACTGAACAATTGAACTATTTCCATTTTAACTTCTCTGTCAGGGCTAAGCTGGGACATGGGCTCCTCTCAGGCCAACACTCCAAACCACCAATGAAATCTGAGCTCATTGAACAGGTGATGAAAGAAGAATACAAGGTATTACACTGGGTATGTCCAGCTTCTGTGGCCATTACCAAACAAAATGTGTTTGATATGAACTTTTGCTCTGCTTTTAAAACTATCTCCACTTGGTTTGTTGCTATTAATGAATGGATGGCAATGCATTTCAAAGACAGTTTTGTCTGAGTAAATAGAGCAGTGATTTTAAAGTGGTTCTCACCCCCGCTCCTCGGAGCTTACGTCACTCACATTTCCTGTTCAAATCTTCCTCTAAATGGGCGTAGCCTGGAGGACTGAAGGGGGCGTGAACGAGACTGGGCCGTTTATATTGCTCTGGGCGGGGGGCTGCTGACGTCAGGTCCAACTTGCAGACGTCAGGTCCAACTTCTGTGCCAGTGTTGGCGCCAGATTCAAAATTCAAATGTAGCAGATGGCGCCTCACAGACGGTTTTAGGCAGAAAGTTTAACTTTCAACTAATTTGCACCAAAGTGACAAGATTATGACCAGGATATGTACACAACACTATTGGACACTCATTTATACCGTTTATCAGCAAAAAAAAGTGGATTTGAGGGTGAGTTGTCCTTTAAGTCTGCCTAGGAAATTCTTTCCAGGGGTTTTGAATTCTCTGTGAAAAGGCCTGTGATAATCTGTTGGATTTAGATGAAATGGGAATTCCCTTTTGCATGGAGTTGGATGAAAACTGAGCATGTCACATTTGCATGTTTTTTGTATTTCTATTTACAGTTACAACAAAAAGGTATTTCTCCTCGGATGCTTAAGTCCATGGTCAGTAGAGGTCACCCAGAGTTCTCCTCCAACAGACAACAGGATGCACATGAGTTCTTTCTGCACCTTATCAAATTTATTGAGGTCAGTGAAGCTGTAGACTAAACACTTACACAAACACTTACACATACACATACACATACACACATATACATACACATACACATTCATACACACACACACACACACACACACACACACACACCTATACGCGTTTGCTTGACAAATGAGGACCTATGTCTGCACTGTGACATATCAGGACGTGCCTTTCTGAAGGTCCCAGAGACCTGAGGATCACATAGGGGGGAGCAGGGTGTGATCAGTAACACAGCTAGCTGTTGATATTTTGGTTAAAAGAAACTTTTTTCCCGCATGATTTTATTGCCACATATGAGGACCTTGACAGGTCTGAGTGACATATTAGGACCTACAACAAACACATCCGGTCTGAGTGACAATTAGGACCTACAACACACACATCAGGTCTGAGTGACATATAAGGACCTACAACACACACATCAGGTCTGAGTGAGATATTAGGACCTACAACACACACATCAGGTCTGAGTGAGATATTAGGACCTCTAACAAACATCAGGTCTGAGTGAGATATTAGGACCTACAACACACACATCAGGTCTGAGTGAGATACTAGGACCTATAACACATGCATCAGGTCTGAGTGAGTTATTAGGATCTTCAGCAAACACATCAGGTTTGAGTGAGATATTAGGACCTTCAGCAAACACATCAGGTCTGAGTGAGATATTAGGACCTACAACACACACATCAGGTCTGAGTGAGATATTAGGACCTATAACACACACATCAGGTCAGAGTGAGATATTAGGACCTATAACACACACATCAGGTCTGAGTGAGATATTAGGACCTTCAACACACACATCAGGTCTGAGTGAGATATTAGGACCTACAACACACACATCAGGTCTGAGTGAGATATTAGGACCTACAACACACACATCAGGTCTGAGTGAGATATTAGGACCTCTAACAAACATCAGGTCTGAGTGAGATATTAGGACCTACAACACACACATCAGGTCTGAGTGAGATACTAGGACCTATAACACATGCATCAGGTCTGAGTGAGTTATTAGGATCTTCAGCAAACAGGTTTTGAGTGAGATATTAGGACCTCAGCAAACACATCAGGTCTGAGTGAGATATTAGGACCTACAACACACACATACGGTCTGAAAGAGATATTAGGACCTACAACACACACATCAGGTCTGAGTGAGATATTAGGACCTATAACACACACATCAGGTCTGAGTGAGATATTAGGACCTATAACACACACATCAGGTCAGAGTGAGATATTAGGACCTATAACACACACATCAGGTCTGAGTGAGATATTAGGACCTTCAACACACACATCAGGTCTGAGTGAGATATTAGGACCTACAACACACACATCAGGTCAGAGTGAGATATTAGGACCTATAACACACACATCAGGTCAGAGTGAGATATTAGGACCTATAACACACACATCAGGTCTGAGTGAGATATTAGGACCTACAACACACACATCAGGTCTGAGTGAGATATTAGGACCTACAACACACACATCAGGTCTGAGTGAGATATTAGGACCTATAACACACACATCAGGTCTGAGTGAGATATTAGGACCTATAACACACACATCAGGTCTGAGTGAGATATTAGGACCTACAACACACACATCAGATCTGAGTGAGATATTAGGACCTACAACACACACATCAGGTCTGAGTGAGATATTAGGACCTACAACACACACATCAGATCTGAGTGAGATATTAGGACCTACAACACACACATCAGGTCTGAGTGACATATAAGGACCTACAACACACACATCAGGTCTGAGTTAGATATTAGGACCTACAACACACACATCAGGTCTGAGTGAGATATTAGGACCTACAACACACACATCAGGTCTGAGTGACATATAAGGACCTACAAACACACACATCAGGTCTGAGTTAGATATTAGGACCTACAACACACACATCAGATCTGAGTGAGATATTAGGACCTACAACACACACATCAGGTCTGAGTGAGATATTAGGACCTACAACACACACATCAGGTCTGAGTGAGATATTAGGACCTACAACACACACATCAGGTCTGAGTGACATATAAGGACCTACAACACACACATCAGGTCTGAGTTAGATATTTGGACCTACAACACACACATCAGGTCTGAGTGAGATATTAGGACCTACAACACACACATCAGGTCTGAGTGACATATAAGGACCTACAACACACACATCAGGTCTGAGTTAGATATTAGGACCTACAACACACACATCAGGTCTGAGTGAGATATTAGGACCTACAACACACACATCAGGTCTGAGTGAGATATTAGGACCTCTAACAAACATCAAGTCTGAGGTGAGATATTAGGACCTACAACACACACATAATGTCTGAGTGAGATATTAGGACCTACAACACACACATCAGGTCTGAGTGAGATATTAGGACCTATAACACACACATCAGGTCAGAGTGAGATATTAGGACCTATAACACACACACCAGGTCTGAGTGAGATATTAGGACCTTCAACACACACATCAGGTCTGAGTGAGATATTAGGACCTACAACACACACATCAGGTCTGAGTGAGATATTAGGACCTACAACACACACATCAGGTCAGAGTGAGATATTAGGACCTATAACACACACATCAGGTCAGAGTGAGATATTAGGACCTATAACACACACATCAGGTCAGAGTGAGATATTAGGACCTATAACACACACACATCAGGTCTGAGTGAGATAATAGGACCTACAACACACACATCAGGTCTGAGTGAGATATTAGGACCTACAACACACACATCAGGTCTGAGTGAGATATTAGGACCTACAACACACACATCAGGTCTGAGTGAGATATTAGGACCTATACCACACAAATCAGGTCTGAGTGAGATATTAGGACCTACAACACACACATCAGGTCTGAGTGAGATATTAGGACCTACAACACACACATCAGGTCTGAGTGACATATAAGGACCTACAACACACACATCAGGTCTGAGTTAGATATTAGGACCTACAACACACACATCAGGTCTGAGTGAGATATTAGGACCTACAACACACACATCAGGTCTGAGTGAGATATTAGGACCTCTAACAAACATCAGGTCTGAGTGAGATATTAGGACCTACAACACACACATCAGGTCTGAGTGAGATACTAGGACCTATAACACATGCATCAGGTCTGAGTGAGTTATTAGGATCTTCAGCAAACACATCAGGTTTGAGTGAGATATTAGGACCTTCAGCAAACACATCAGGTCTGAGTGAGATATTAGGACCTACAACACACACATAAGGTCTGAGTGAGATATTAGGACCTACAACACACACATCAGGTCTGAGTGAGATATTAGGACCTATAACACACACATCAGGTCAGAGTGAGATATTAGGACCTACAACACACACATCAGGTCTGAGTGAGATATCAGGACCTACAACACACACATCAGGTCTGAGTGAGATATTAGGACCTATAACACACACATCAGGTCAGAGTGAGATATTAGGACCTATAACACACACATCAGGTCTGAGTGAGATATTAGGACCTACAACACACACATCAGGTCTGAGTGAGATATTAGGACCTACAACACACACATCAGGTCTGAGTGAGATATTAGGACCTACAACACACACATCAGGTCTGAGTGAGATATTAGGACCTATAACACACAAATCAGGTCTGAGTGAGACATTCGGGATGTTTGATATGATCATGCAGCTTATTGGACAAAATTGTTCAGCCAATAAACTATATTTGAAGCAACGAACCTGATGACGCTCAGGCGGTTACATTTTCTAAAAACATTAGAACGCAACATTTTCGCAATAGTGTGTGTATAGAAATAACAATATTTAAATTATGTCTTTTAATACAAAAGGCAAATGACTTGAGAGGCGAGGAACAAATTTGAGTAGGCCAAGATAAAAACTGGTAAAAACTACCCAGGCCTATACCTGGCGCCGCGGCCGGCTTAGAAGGCCTGGGATGCCCACAGCGTCATCAGTCTATGCGCCTCTGTGTGGATCACACATCTCTCTTCGGGCTGGAGCTATGGCTGGAGCATTTTGAGGGTTTTTTAAGCAGGAGTCAGGAAGGTGGCGATCTTACGGGTGTTTGTGATTTTTTGGTTTAACAGCCTCCCTGTTAAACTTAATTATATATAGGGATCAGGAGCTTTATGACCCGACCTACCCGCATCCGACATGACTCATATTTTTGAGGCATCCAACCCGCCCGAAACTGCGGGTTGACCGCGGCTTTCGGGCTGACCCGCGCATCACTACCCCTTAGGTAACACGTTGCCATAGATACACAGAGCCGATGGAAACGCTCTCAAACCGAGTCGAGTTGTGCCGAGTCGAGTTGAGGCGAGTAGAGTCGGGCCCGTGGAAACAGCCAGTGATACGCAGGAACGCATGCACAACAAATATACTATATCATACAAGGCGGCCCCGACTCCACCGGGCGCGTAAAACGGACGACGTATCCGTCCAAACGCGTCCGTTTCATCTCCGTTTCCTTTATCTCCATGAGGGTGAATGGAAGTGGCTCCACGGCCTGCAACATGCGTCATTCCGTCAACGGAGGGTGCAACGGACGCGGACGGACGAAATCGAAACAATTTTACCCGTCCGTCGACACGTGTCGGGACCGTTTTTCATTGAAAATACAATGGAATAATATATTTACCACATTATTTAACATGTATTGATATATGCTGTAGTCCTTGGTTATAACTGTTTGTTAATGACAATGAAACAAAATGTGTGTCATTTTGTTTCATGTATTAAACTGAAATAATTGTTTCCTGATCGTAAATCTACCATTTACTTTTCGCGCAATGTTAATACGCTAAACTTTACATACACCTCGCTCTTTTAGTTCTTGCTCTGTCCCTGTCTACCTCCGAGGCGCTCTCTCCTAACCGCCGCTCCACACACACACACACACTGCACTTTTGCACGCCCACGCACACATGCACGCCAATAATAC